CATCTCGGCATCTCTGCCGCTCAGGATGGGCGGCTGTGGCGGAGGCCGGCGCACTGCCGCGCTGTCGGGCGCTGGACTGGCGCGGGGAGACATGGGCTCGCTCTGAAGGTGAATGATGGGGAGCGGGTCAAACTATAACAGTGGTAGAGAGAGATGAGATGAGGCCAGTAGTCCAGTGCAAAAGGCAGATTGGTTAGCTTTAGAAAGGTCAGTAGTACTCAGTACCCATAAGGTACGTGCAAGGATGCTGATTAGTCACAACAGCAAAATGAGGGGTACAGTAGTTGGTATTTGCAAACTAGGTGAATAATCACCAAACAGCAGCTTTTAATACTATAGTGTGTTTAACAAATATTCAAGTCCCACAAGTTAAAACACTGGGCTGACTTTGAAGGTCAGACACATCAGTGGATTCATGGCACGTTCTCACCTTCACTTCAGTGGCATCACCATTACTGACTTCTTTCTTCTGCATTTCTCTCATCCTCTTCTCTTTCTCCATTTGCTTCATTAGTCTCCTGCTCTGACTTGACTTTTTTACTTGAAAAACTTCCCCTTCCTCCTCTGAAAACGGTGGAAGAAAATAAAATAAAACCTTGAGGCTGAACATGTCCAACACCCCAACAAACAACCAATGGCTAAACAGCACACAAGAAAAGTATGAAAACTCATTTTACACTTCTGCAGAGAGGTCATGGTGTTGCTGCCCATCATAATGGTGATTTGTGCTAGAATGTCTGGACAGCACCCAGTAAACATGCCGACGTCGGCCGACGTCGGCAACTCGGCATCGGCATGCCGACGTCGGACCAGGGACTCTATATGAACTGGACCCAGGGTGCTCGCCAAGAAGACCAATGTCTCTATCCTATCATAATTCCGGCTCTGAAATGGTGTTGTCAGACCGAAAGGGCATAACACAACAAAACAAACCGAATTCGATATCTGGCTGCGTGGTGTAGTGGTTAGCGCACTAACCTCGGGTTCAAATGACACGAGGTTCGAATCCCATCGCCGGATGATGCTTTTGGCGTGTTGTCCCAGTAAACATGCCGACGTCGGCGACTGGGGGGCTCGAATCCCGCCGCCGCGCCGGTTGATATTTTTGGCGCATTGTCCCAATAAACATGCCGACGTCGGCCCCGTCGGTCCAACGACAAACGATCTCGTCAACCTCGGCAAACGACCTCGGCCCGACGTCGGCTCGACGTCGGTTGGACTTCGGCTGGACGTCGGTTGGACTTCGGCTGGACGTCGAAACATGCGGGCATATCCGACGTCCAGCCGATGTCGGGCCAAGGTTGAACCGACGTTGGGCCGACGTCGGCATGTTTACTGGGCAGACACCCTTGAGACTAGTTGATGTGGTAAACTGATAAATAATCATACTTCAAACATGATATAGTTATAGCTAGTTATATAGTTATAATTATAGCTATCCTACTCAGTTTGTGTTTCATGCCTTTTTATCTTACAGCAAGTATTTACCTTCATCAATAAAACTGATAACTGCCTTTTCCTTTTGCTTCTTCTTTTTCTTCTTTTCTTTCCTTATATCAATATCCATGCTGTTTTCTTTTGAATCTCCCAGTCCCATAGCATCCATGCTGTCATCATTCTCAGTCTTTGGTGTATCCTTCTCTGTTGCATCATTGCTTGCTTCATTTTCTTCATCACTGTCATTGACAGCAACTCTTTGTCTGATGTTCTTCTTAGGTTTCTTGAACAGTGACATACTGCCGAAACAAGAATGTAACAGTTCAGAAAAAACATGCCAGACTACGACTAGGTATTGAACCTAAGAAAGATGAGGGATAGGAATTAGGAAAGGTATGTTACCTGCAAATAATGAAATAAGTTTTAAGACAATACTTCTGGATTCACAAAGTTCAATTAAAAAACCCTCCCGTCTGGCCTTCAACAAAGCTAATGAATTAGCACAAAAGCGATGTCCAGAGGTTCAGACAGAAAAAAATCAATATCCACCAATTTTCACCAAAAAATATTGACTGGTTTTAAAGATATAAGACTTTTACTTTTGTTATCTTTTTGGGATCTGTGCTTCTACTAGCCACTTAATTTGGAAGCAATAATCTGGCATCCTAAGTGTGGCAGATGTTGTGTGCAAAGCAGTATACACCACCATGTGTTTACAATGGTTTTAGACTTTAGTATAAGATTTAAGAATCATTAGATCTCCGCTGACATCACACAGTATAAGGGGGCATTCAAATGCATTAGCCTCTTTGAATCTGAAAACTGCAAGTTTGAAATTAAATAGTTCAGAATTAAAGCAATTCTTGATGTTATGAATGCCCAAACCAGTAAGCACAAGCCATTAGCCAGGGACCCCTATTTGGCTATCTCAACTAAAAACTAATGTTAAGGTGGGATGGTCACTTTAAGGTCTTCCGTCTTATAGTACCAGACTAGAAAAATCCATACAATTCGATTGATACCCATTTTTACCCTAGCGCCCCGTTTTTGGCCGTACAAGGGCGAATTTACGGATTTTTTACGAGTTTACGGGGCTTTAAGGGCCTTAAACGTCAATGCAACGGGGACCGTTTTGGGGAAAGTTTCTCGGCTGGTGGTGGGGCACCTGTGTGCCGATTTTGAACGAAATCGGGGGGGACCCCCCATTGACCCGAAATTTTGATTTTCCCGTAAAAACTTTCCTATGGGGAAAAAGTGGAATTTTCCTGCAGGACTGTGTCTGGGTAAACGAGAGCTTTCGATTGATACCCATTTTTACCCTAGCGCCCCGTTTTTGGCCGTACAAGGGCGAATTTACGGATTTTTTACGAGTTTACGGGGCTTTAAGGGCCTTAAACGTCAATGCAACGGAGACCGTTTTGGGGAAAGTTTCTCGGCTGGTGGTGGGGCACCTGTGTGCCGATTTTGAACGAAATCGGGGGGGACCCCCCATTGACCCGAAATTTTGATTTTCCCGTAAAAACTTTCCTATGGGGAAAAAGTGGAATTTTCCTGCAGGACTGTGTCTGGGTAAACGAGAGCTTTCGATTGATACCCATTTTTACCCTAGCGCCCCGTTTTTGGCCGTACAAGGGCGAATTTACGGATTTTTTACGAGTTTACGGGGCTTTAAGGGCCTTAAACGTCAATGCAACGGGGACCGTTTTGGGGAAAGTTTCTCGGCTGGTGGTGGGGCACCTGTGTGCCGATTTTGAACGAAATCGGGGGGGACCCCCCATTGACCCAAAATTTTGATTTTCCCGTAAAAACTTTCCTATGGGGAAAAAGTGGAATTTTCCTGCAGGACTGTGTCTGGGTAAACGAGAGCTTTCGATTGATACCCATTTTTACCTCTTTGTGACGTCATTTCTAGGGGAAAACGGGTCATAAAGGTTTCCCTCTACCGGGGCCTTTTTTCCCCCTACCGAATCTGTGCTGTGCTGAATCTGTGCTGAATCTGTGCCAACTTCCGTTACATCACCTTGGCGCCACTGTGTTTTGCACTGTGTGGAGTCCAAGGCTATATAAACCAGGTAGAACGTTCCCGACGAAAAAGTGGTGACAAGCGATAATTAGTAGCCGCGACCCTCACTTGTTCAAAACTATATCCGCAAGCAGCATTTACAGGCTAGCGGAAATCGACCAATCGGCGTTCGGCAATACTCGACGCTGATTGGCCCGATGCTCGTGACGAAATTGTGGGGGACTGTAGCTATTCCCCTATGGCGTTCAATAGACTTACGGCTTTTGAAGGTGATTTATACTAGTTTTTGTTGGGTTTGAGGCCATTTTTGAGCTTGGATATTCTTTCTGTGACTTTTGACTGTGTAATAACGACATTTAATCATAACATTTCTATATACTACCGGTGTCACATCGCCCAAAAAGACCGTAAGTACATGGGATAGACGGACCACTGCTGATGGGGCCACACATGCCGGCGTGTGGTCATCGGAGGTCCATGAGGGCTCGACATAGGCCCTTCATGGGTCGGTATAGGCCCGGTGGGTCCAGTGCAAGCCTATCAGGGGCCGGTGGTGACCCAACAGGGCCGGCCAGTGGCATATAATGTAAGGCTGTCTAGGGACGTTGAGGGCTCATGGGACCATATAGGACCAATAGGGACCACATAAGTCAATCAGGGGCCATTTAGGCCAATAAAGGCACTTCAGGGGACTTGAAAAGGTCATTCAAGAGCTGCGGTGGGCCCATGAGGGGACGGCACTGGTCCAGCAGGTGCAGTCAGGGGATGTTGTACGGGTTTCTCAGTGGCCCATTTGGGCATATCAGTGACCAATTTGGACCCAGCAGGGGGCTTTGTAGACCTATCAGGGGCTGGTGATGGTTCATCAGGGGCCAGCGTTATAGTCCATCGGGGCACGGCATATGCCCATCAGAGGTAATTGCGAGCCCACGCTGAACAATGATGGCCCTTCAACGGCCCCTAATGGATCTACATTGACCCATGGGCCATGATGTGTCATGTATGCCCCTATGACAGGCCTACTCAGACCCCTGATGGACATTCCCGGCGTCTAATGACCCTATACTGAATGCTGATGGGGCTCTAAGTTTCTCCAATAACCCTTCGTCAACCCATTATTACCATACGCTGGCACTAGGGGCTCCACATCAGCCGCAGGGCAGTCCGTGCCATGACAGCATGTCTTTTCGGCCGATATTACATCGGTAATATTTATTAAAATCATGATTTTATGGTGTCATTATATAGCTAACAGTCATAAGAAATATATTTCAACTCGAAAACAGCTCCAAACAGCATATAATTTTAAAGAAACCCCTCCGAAATCCAAAAGCCTATTCGGGTCCATAGAGAATAACTGCGGTCCCCCGCAATTTCGTCACGAGCGTCGGACCAATCAGCGTCGAGTACTGCCGAGCGCTGATTGGTGAATTTTCCGCTAGCGTGTAAGTACTGCTCGCGGAACAAGAGTTCGTCGACAATCCTCCACAAACGTCTGTCACCATTTTTCGTAATGCTAAACGGCCGGAGCGTACCCCCCTGGTGGAGTCCGTGCGGTGTCGGCCCGAGGGGCTGAATTTCGGTGAATTTGATAGCAAATGATTTGAATTTTGCTCAGATGGGTTGTGAATTTATATACAGCAAGTGTCACAAACATGGAAAGGCAAGTTTACAAAGGACAGGAGACTTAGAAAGGCTTCAATTGACGTAGCCGAAGAGAGGCGAGAAGCCGAAGATAGACCGACTCCAAACGGTAATTCCATGGATGTAACACGTTTCCAGACATTTTTTTTATGGCGAACTTAACTAAGAGTATAAAATAGTCTAACTTAACTCATAGCTGGATCTTGTATTGCCCATATGAGGTAATTTACCTGTATAAGTTTATGGGCATATCAGTCGGGGAAACTGTGGTCAAATCTTCCATTTTTAGAAAGCCTTCCATTTTTGGAAGGATTTTCTATATATAGGTACGCACCTTCCAAAAATGGGTACGCTGACGACGTCATCGTACCCAAATATAGAAAATATTGCGCATATGTTGGAACTTACCGATTTCCGCCGAACATGAGGCAAATGCGACTATCGCCCCTGGTCGCTTTCTATTCGCCATAGTGAAGTGTCCATAATCTAGCGTGGATGCCTAAATCCTAGCGTGGATGTATTTTAGGTAATTTTTCAAAGTAATGAGTCGTGGAAAATTGACAAAAATTTACCGACAAACGATGGTTTTATAAGACTTTATCAAACATTTTGTAAGCAAGAAGCATCAAAAACGAAAAGTAAATATCCTTAAAAGTACTTTAGTGACGGGCCATGCTTGTTCGATACCGCCGACTTTATTTACAGTGCGGAATTGTCTGGACAGAGTGCGGCGGTTTCGGGAGTGTAGTGGCGAGTAAAACTTGTATTTGTTGCCGTTTTCTGCATTTATTAGCATATTGTGTGGTTGATTTCAATTTTTTAAGGCTTTTGCCAAACATTTGGGTGGAGGTCTCGTCATTTTTCAATGTTTTTTCCGGAATATGGGACGAATTAAATAGGCGTTGCTGCGCCGTTTTTCGTGTTACTTTCATGAATCTTCAATTTATATGAGGAATAGTAAGTTTAATTTAAACCATTTTTTGTCAGGGCTATAGCTGTGTTCCTCCTGGTTGGTTATTGACCAGCTGTTTTCTCTTCTGAATTTCTGTGTGTCCTCTAGAAGTAGAAAAAGAGAGCAGTGCGCCAGGACACCATGCTATTATATCACTATGTACATTGACATAGCATGCCTGTATTACCAACACTAGCACTGCTGCTTCTCCTTATATCAATGATCATAAATGGCAAAATCAACTATTAATGTTACACATTTAAAAAGGCCGTAACTTAAATCAAAGAATGTGAATCACAGTTGGGAACACTGAGATTAGACCTTCCAATTTTGGAAGCCTTCCATTTTTGGAAAATGCATACCCATTTATGGAAGGTCCTTCCAAAAATGGAAGGCTTCCAAAAATAGAAGATTTGACCACAGTTTCCCCCACTGATAACCGCAGGTTGTTTGAAAAGACAAACACTATTCGTTAGAATTGTGTTTTTCTATTGAAAAACAACCGGAGCGGTCGTTGTCCGGGCTATGTTTTGCAAGTCTGGCAGCGAATTGGGGCAACTTGGTAGGGGCCTAGACGAAATGTACAATCTTCGTAAAAAGTTCAGTGTATGGGCTCTCGGAGGCGATCTACCTGATGGCACCGGTCGCTACTCGCTAAGAAGTCTTTTGCGCGTGGCGCGTGCGTTTGAATTTTCGCCCATGTTAAGTCAATGGGGGTTTGGGGGTCTTTTTGCGCCATCGGGAATGGCGGAAAAACGAGCCAAGAAAGGGGTGGTTTTCATCCCAGCATTTTATGGCAAACACGTTCCGGTACACGCCAGTGTGCGCCGTATACCCGTCAGAATCTCGGAACGTGTCTTTGCACGCGATTAAAGTTGGAATTTTGCTGTGTCCCATGTTAAGTCAATGGACGGCGATGTCGAGACTTTGCAGAGACATTTTCATTCGATCTTTGTGCAAAATTTTAGAGATAGATTTCGCCCAAACTCTTATATCTTGTAGAGGAAAGAGCATAGTACATGCCGTTATGTTTCGTTAAGCTGGCAAAACTCATTTTTTCTTATAAAGTTCATTTGAAAATTAAAATTTTTAACATGGAAAGTCAATGGGAGCGTCTTTGTTGCTTAATAACTTTTTACGTTGCAGATGTATCAAAGTGAAAAGTTAATAAAATATACAACTTTCGATGCTCTTTCCAACAATGTATAGAACGTCACCGCACGATGTGCCGTTTTTAAGAAAAGCTGTAAAAAAGCAGGGCTCGACTGTGACTTGAACCCAACCACATTAGAATATACGAACAGGTGAAGGGGACACCTCCCATGTGTGGACGCGACACCGATTATTGCTAATTATTAGCAGTCGGTCGCCGTGGGGGCGCCTTTACAAACCTTATGTCTCTGCAACCGCTTGACCGATTCACTTGCGGTCTTTTGTGTGGGATGGTTTCTTCCTTTCCCAAACGTAGTGTGCTACTCTCGATGCGTATGGGTGACCCCTAATGCACGTGCCACGTGCAAAACGAAGAGGTGTCCGTTCGGTAACAAGTCGAATAACTCTGTAGTTAGTTTGCCGATTGCACTGATACTTGGCATGGATGTAGGCACCCGCCGTGCAATGCATTTCCATGTGTCACGGTTGGGGTGCCGCTGCACGTGCGCACGGGCAGGGTGACGCTTCCAGATCTCGAGAACGGCTGGGCCGATTGTGATCAAATTTGGCACACCGTTAGGGATCGGCGAGTAGGGTGCCGTGCACAAGTCAGATGGGGCCCAGTTTGCACGTGCGCACGTGCGGGCTGACGCTTCCATATCTCAAGAACGGCTGGACCGACTGTGCTCAAATTTGGCATACCACTAGAGACTGGTTAGTAGGGTGCCGTGCACAAGTCAGTAAGTATGTATTTTCATGTGCCACGGTTGGGGTACAACTGCACGTGCGCACGTGTAGGGGTCGTTTCCAGATCTTGGAAACGGCTGGGCCGAATGCGATTTAATTTGGTACACCGCTAGAGACCGGCGAATAGAGTGCCGTGCACAAGTCAGTTGGGACCCAGCTTGCACGTGCGCACGTGCAGGGTGCCGCTTCAAGATCTCGAAAACGGCCGGGCCGATTGCACCCAAATTTTGCACACCGCTCTAGACGGGCGAATAGGGTGCCGTGCACGTCAGTTTTTAGCACACCCACTCCGGTCTGCACGTGCAAGGCTCATCCTCTCGTTTGGCGGGTGGTAACCGCAGGTTGTTTGAAAAGACAAACACTATTCGTTAGAATTGTGTTTTTCTATTGAAAAACAACCGGAGCGGTCGTTCTCCGGGCTATGTTTTGCAAGTCTGGCAGCGAATTGGGGCAACTTGATTGGGGCCTAGACGAAATGTACAATCTTCGTAAAAAGTTCAGTGTATGGGCTCCCGGAGGCGATCTACCTTATGGCACCGGTCGCTACTCGCTTAAAACCTCGTGGCACGTGGCACGTGCCATTCCATTTTTCCCATGTTAAGTCAATGGGGGTTTGGGGCACTTTTTGCGCCATCGGGAATGGCGGAAAAACGAGCCAAGAAAGGGGTGGTTTTCTTCCCAGCATTTTATGGCAAACACGTTCCGGTACACGCTAGTGTGCGCCGTATACCCCTCAGAATCTCGGAACGTGTCTTTGCATGAGGTCAAAGTTGGAATTTTGCTGTGTCCCATGTTAAGTCAATGGACGGCGATGTCGAGACTTTGCAGAGACATTTTCATTCGATCTTTGTACAAAATTTTAGAGATAGATTTCGCCCAAACTCTTATATCTTGTAGAGGAAAGAGCATAGTACATGCCGTTATGCTTCGTTAAGCTGGCAAAACTCATTTTTTCTTTTAAAGTTAATTTGAAATTTAAAATTTTTAACATGGAAAGTCAATGGGAGCGTCTTTATTCCTCTATAACTTTTATCTTTAGTAAGATATATAGGTGAAAAGTTAATATAATATACAACTTTTGATGCTCTTTCCACTGATGCATTGGACGTCACTGCACGATGTGCCGTTTTTAAGAAAAGCTGTAAAAAATCAGGGCTCGACTGTGACTTGAACCCAACCACATTAGAGTATACGAACAGGTGACGGGGATACCTCCCGTGTGCGGATGCGACACTGATTATTGCTAAATATTAGCATTCGGCCGCCTTGGGGGCGCCTTGCAAAGCTTCTATCTCCACAACTACTTGACCAATTCACTCGCGGTCTTTTGTGTGGGATAGCTTCTTCCTTTCTAAAGGCCGCCGTCCACTGCGACGGAATTCCGTCCGGAGTCCGTCCGGAATGTCGCCGCACGCTGGCCGCATCCGGTCCGGATGCGGTCCGGATGCGGTCCGGATGCGGAGAGCTAATAAATGTTTCCTATCACTTATTACCAAATAAAATATTGCAAGTAACCAGCAGCGAATACTCTTGCCATTCTAAGGAAATAATTTTTACTTTCTTCATGATGATCGAGTTCCAATTCTTCGTACAATTCACAATGTTTGCCTCCGATACGGCCCCAAACCACGTCTGTTCCGGACGTTCCGGTTGCGGAAAAGTTCAACGCGTCGAACATCACTCTTCCGTCTCCGTAGCAACCGCATCCGAAACGCATGCGGAGAGCTGACGGAAAATCAACAGCTGATTGCCGTTCGGATGCGGTCCGGACGGAGCGCACACGATTTCCGTACGGACCGGATGCGCCCATAGGGTTCTGTGTTAAATTCCGTACGGACCGCACGCGTTCCGCACAGTGGACGGCGGCCTTTACACGTAGTGTGCTATTCTCGATGCGTATGGGTGACCACTAATGCACGTGCCACGTGCAAAACGATGAGAAGTCAGTTCAGTAACAAGTCTAATAACTCTGTAGTTAGTTTGCCGATTGCGCTGGTACTTTGCATGGATGTTGGCACGCACCCGGCAATGCATTTCCATGTGTCACGGTTGGGGTGCCGCTGCACGTGCGCACGGGCAGGGTGACGCTTCCAGATCTCGAGAACGGCTGGGCCGATTGTGATCAAACTTGGCACACCGCTAGAGGCTGGTTAGTAGGGTGCCGTGCACAAGTCAGATGGGACCCGTTATGCACGTGCGCACGTGCAGGCTGACGCTTCCAGATCTCAAGAACGGCTGGGCCGACTGTGCTCAAAATTGGCATACCGCTAGAGACTGGTTAGTAGTGTGCCGTGCACAAGTCAGTTAGTATGTATTTTCATGTGCCACGGTTGGGGTGCAGCTGCACGTGCGCACGGGTAGGGGTCGTTTCCCGATCTTGGAAACGGCTGGGCCGATTCAGATTAAATTTGGTACATCGCTAGGAACCGGCGAATAGAGTGCCGTACACAAGTCAATTGGGACCCAGGTTGCACGTGCGCACGTGCAGGGTGTCACTTCCAGATCTCGAAAACGGCCGGGTCGATTGCACTCAAATTTGGCAAACCGCTAGAGACCGGTTAGTAGAGTGCAGTGCACGTCAGTTCGTGACACACCCGCTCCGGGCTGCACGTGCAAGGCTCATCCTCTCGTTTGGCGGCGGGCGTTTTTGCGGCGTTACAGAGGTGCTTGCTCAAACAACCTGCGGTCCCGCGATGCGGAGCCCAGCATCGCAGATGCTGGTAACCGCAGGTTGTTTGAAAAGACCGATTCAGATTAAATTTGGTACATCGCTAGGAACCGGCGAATAGAGTGCCGTACACAAGTCAATTGGGACCCAGGTTGCACGTGCGCACGTGCAGGGTGTCACTTCCAGATCTCGAAAACGGCCGGGTCGATTGCACTCAAATTTGGCAAACCGCTAGAGACCGGTTAGTAGAGTGCAGTGCACGTCAGTTCGTGACACACCCGCTCCGGGCTGCACGTGCAAGGCTCATCCTCTCGTTTGGCGGCGGGCGTTTTTGCGGCGTTACAGAGGTGCTTGCTCAAACAACCTGCGGTCCCGCGATGCGGAGCCCAGCATCGCAGATGCTGGTATCAATATACGAAATTGACCTGCCGTTTGAGAAAGGCACTAAAAGTTGATACATGCTGCTGAGAATGATTATATAAATTCATTGCATTTTTATAAGATTCATTGCAAGCATTTTAGCAGTGTTCTACTTTGTCTGGTACCAAAGATATTGCATGCAGATAAAGGTTATGATGGAAAAAGACAAATTGAAATAGGATCTATTTTGACACCAGCAACCAGGAGGTATATGTAATAGAACACTAAGCTACCTACTAATTATGAATTGTTACAAGTATTGATCATCCTACGTGGTGTTACAGATGCCCAGTGCAATCATGCTTCTGGTGCGGAGTTGTCAGGATGGAGTCCGAGGAATCAAAGAAGGCAGAGGACCTGCGTATGAAGGAACCAGCCCTGCGGATGAAGTTCTGAGGTGCATACAGAGGGATCCCACTGAAAGACCAGGTAGGAGTTGGTGAACAGCTTGTGCACTGCAGTATATCATCCAGAAGTACCTAACTGATAGCCTTTCTTGCAAAATGTTTTTTTTAACTCATCACCCGTCTAAAGCTACTTATTATTGATATAATATCTTCATTTCATCAGGTAAATAATTGTTTACTCTAATTTTTGATTCACACTGACTGAAGTGAACACTATTTTAGAATATTCACTCAGCTTTTTAGCAACTAAATACGGGCAAGTTTTTTGTTGTTTTTTAAAATAAATTTTCACTTTCTAGAATATTTGTATAGGTAACTGCAATAAAAGTGCATTTCAAAATTGCAAATGCTTTGTGTAAAGTTCATGGGTCTTGATGATGTCACTGTATCCAGTTCATCATATCAGATTTCAACTGTGCTTAAACTGCAATGTTTTGCTAATTGCTTCAGTATATAATGTCCTTTTATCCATGCATGTTAAACATACGGGTATCTCATTATGACTTGCCAAGATATTTCCCCACTGTCATATGCCATTTTTCATTTATTCACAGGTGCAATGCTGCATTGATAAGATCCAGATTCAAGAGCATGGATGCTACCAGATCCTGTGATTTGAAGTTACCAGTGTCACTGCTGCTACAAATGACATCAGCAACACTTCCTTTGGTGAAAGTTTAGAGGAGCAAACAGTTGATGCTCTGTGTAGTCAAGCAGTGGAGTTTTGCCACAATCATGAAGCTGATTAAGGTGTCAATTTTTTGCTCTGGCTTCTGGGACACCTTGGATCTACATTGCAACCTATGCTAGTGTTCAACATTTCGTGTCATAGTATCACTGATGCAAAGCGTGTTGCATCATACACAAATGAGAGCTAACAAATTGTCAGATATTTTCTAGTGATGAGAACTGAATGCCTTAAGCAATTGTTGAAGGTGATAAATGGTGAATGGTAGGGCTCAGCCACTCAGCTCCTTCCTTCAAAAGCTATCAATCAGCTCTAGAAGAGTAGTCATAGCAATGCTTCATATGTGAAGGCTACTTGCCTGAACAGAACATTGTGGATTTGTTAATTAAGTACCTCTTTATTACAAGTTTGTGCCCATTACAAGCCAAGCTTAGTTTACTTAGTTTGTTGTAAGTTTTCCAGCCAGCCTTCACACTTGTGTCGCTGAATATTAAACTTTAACTGATAGACCGACAGATATTGTCCCTCATCAGATTTTAATCAGTCAGTCGTGTTGGTAGAAGGTACATCTGTCTTAAAAGTACCGCGGAAAGTGACGGTGGATCCATCAAGCCTGACCGAGGATGTCATATAGAGCCACGCAGAAATGGCCGGTGATTCGTTGCCCATCATTACAGAATGAACGCATGCCGGATGAAGGGTTAAGTCAATAGTCTACAAACTACAGGGATGTGGTTGACTTATCTGACAGTGACGAGCGCTAGAGGTCAACTTAAAGGGACCCTCCCACCTTCAAAAAAGTTAATGAATTGGCATAAAAGTGATGTAGCGTGAATCACAAAGAGCGAAAATGAACATCTACCAAATTTTACCGGAAAATATTCACCCGTTTTCGAGATATAAGACTTTTATTTTTGTTTACTTTTTGGGAACTCCGCTGTTTCTGTGACGTCACATAAAGGTTTTCTTTACGTCGGCATTTGGAAGCAATAGTTTGGTATCAAAGTGCGACAAATATTGCGCGAATGATGCGTTTATCTTATCAAGGTCAATATATGATGACCAATAAAGGATTCCAGGACAATTCTTCTTATGGCATTTCTTCGTATCGCAATTCTTCGTCTGCAAATCTTCGTCAGGGCATTTATTCGTATCGCATTACTTTGTCTCGCATCAGGGTATATGAAAATCGGCTCGCATTTCTTCTTCAACGCAAATATATGCAAGAGTAAGCATTGAGGGACAAATAAATGCACCGACGAAGATTTGTAGACGAAGAAATGCGGACGAAAAATTGTGCTACGAAGAAATGTCATGCGAGAATTCGTTCGGGTACCATGACATTTATGTGATTTCAAAGTCAAGGTTCGCAGCTGATCTGCTAAATCAAGCCAAGAATCCAAACTATCAAAAAACTATAAATATTAGTTTGTCTGTCACAGAGGTCTCAAGCAATATAAGGTTGACATATGTTGAATCAAAAATCTACTGCCACAGCTCACATCTCCTGCCTTAGTTTATCATTGTTGTTTTAAATTGCTTTCAAGAGAAACAGAAGGCGCCAGTATCTGATATCACTTCAGATGATTGTTTCAAGATCTGAGTTCAAATGGAAATAAAAGCAAGATCAAGATGAAACAGGGATTATTGCTGTTAAAGTAGTTTGGCCATGATACAACAAGCACATAAATCATTAGCCAAATCAAAAACTGGTTGGTTTGTCAAGATGTTTGTTGTCTGTCGTCAGTTGAGCTGCTATGAACACTGAACGCTCTCACTCTTACTTTAAAGAGAGCAGTTTAAGTTGAATGGTAGTGAGCTGTAATTAGACAAAGCAGCTATTCAGTGCTCACATCAAGCCAGGCTAGGAAATGGCATCAACTGTGGTGGGAGGAAGCAGGCTCGGCAGCCCTATGTTGTAAACTTCTGTTGTGTCTTGTGTTTGATCAACTGATGTTTTCTGCAGTGATAGTAGCAGGTAACTGCATGCTTGTCAAATTATGTGAATAAACGAATTCATAACATTGCATTTTTCTCTCCATGCAAGGAACAAGTAAGATGTTGTAGAAAATGTATTAGAGGGCTGCATTGCTGATTTTGCACTTTATCAGAGCTTTATTTAGAATTGCTTTCCTGAAAGCTACACACAGGCCACAGCACTGAAATTCACAATGTCATAGCTTTTGGCAGAAAAAAAAGAAAAGACTTACCTAGGTAAAATTGGCTGAAAGTATGGCAGAGCAGGTCTTGATGCGTATGCCCATCCGTGTGCTTGCCGAAGCCGAACTGACTGCAACACATTAACTCTGACCCACCATGGTGGCTGGCATATCCTGAACTTTCACCACCCTAAACAAGACAACTTTCAGCCCTCAGCATTGTATTAAAATAAAACACTGTACATGACACTCAAAATTTGTTTCAGTGCCATCCACAGACAACATCAGTCGCCATTCACCTTCACCAGGCCAGTAAAAACAGAATAGATAATAGCTTCAAACCCATGTAGTCAGAGTTACTAGGTCTGCACCTCAAAACAAAATCCAGGTGACATTCACCACGCCAGTAAAAAACAGGTACTTAGGTAACGTAACAGCTTCAAATCTGGTAACATGTTGGTCGGACTTTACACTACCATATTTACATGGAATAATATGATACCAAACAATAGTGCAACCATTCTGGACAACAAAAGTGTATGACAAAATTAATTTAGAATACTTTGGCAGCATGATTTATGAGCACAGGCAGATGTTACCTACCAGCCTTCTCAATGCTCGTAAAACCAACATTGTAGTTTTGATTTTACCTTACATGATAACACACTTGGCTGCAATGACACATTTAATTTAATACTGTGAAAAGACCAGTTATAACCACTTCACAAGCACAATTGCACCTCATGCCGACATCCTTTTCCAAAGACAGTCAGCAGCGTCTTTCGTCAAAACTGGAAGATCAATCCCCTTTCAACTGTTAACATCAAAAATATTTCTCCATGGTGTGATCTCCATATGAAAGCCTTGCAGGAAAAGAATTAATGTCAATTGTCAGCTCTTCAAATTTCTTTGGACTTTAACTTGCAGTACCATATCCAGTTTGCTTTGATATTTTGTTTTTTATTCCATGTTTAAGTTCAACACCAAGCTCCAGATATAGCAGGCAGCTTGATCATCTTCGGCCTTGGTATAATATATATGGCCTTGGGTATAATATCAGTCCAAGTTCCAGTGGTGGGTATCTTCTAATATTCAAATTAAAATGAAAAGCAACAGGCTTTCTCAGCGCCCACGGTCATAGAATACTATCAGCGCCGACGACGGATTTCACGTTGATAAAGAAGGGAGCTCAAGGTCAGCAAATTTCGGGTTCAAGGAATGGCGGGCGTTGAAATGACTGCTGACGTCATCAAAAAACCGCTAATGGTTAAGAGATAGGGACTAAGCTGGTCCCACCCTGCAAGTAAAGGGAAGAAATTTCTTGAACACCATAAAGCTGCGGGGTTTGCGACCAGGATAAATGGTGGTTTCTGAGCCTGGCCGCAAACTTGGCTATCTCAACTCAAAACTAATGTTAAGGTGGGATGGTCCCTTTAAGTCCGTAGGTATGCGTTCTTGTCATGGAATGTGTGCTGTAAATCGATTGTTTCATGCGTGTGAATATATGTCTGAATGTAATAGGGTTTTTAATTTCAACTGTGTAAGTTAAAATATGTGATAACATCGTATCTTTCGTACTCCGTAGCTTTTGGTGACCATTCGATCAGCTCCCTTTCCTTCCGCTCAATGACGATGTAGTAGTTTGCCTTTCACACGCGTCATTGTCTTCCTAGTATCGAAATCAACTGTAGCTACTCATTTTAGCAAAATGATGAACCTGAAAAAGACATGAAACGCAGTTTCCGTTCGCGGCGCGTCGGCCGCCGTCGCCGCCCGCAGCAGCGTTACCGCTGGCGTCTTGCTGGTTTCCCCAGATTCTCACGAAAATTTCCCTATTTTGAAAATCATTTCCCTAGATGCGGCTATTTTCCTGGAATTTGACGTACTTTCGTCATTTTAACCATTCGTGTTATAGTCGCTGCGTAGTAAACAGCAATTTACTACATTCTGCTACGTTAACGTAAGAGATTGTAATGAAATTGCTGGCATACCTATAGCAAATTACTGTATGTGGTATAATATAAGTGCGTGGTATATCGCAAATTGTGGTGAGTTGCGGGAAGCGGGAAACTATACCGTATTCTATAGATGACTTTGTACCGTATAGGTAGTGCTGGCGATAAGAGACGAGTCGATGCATTATTTCCCACGCCGTCAGTTTGACCGTAAAGAAGTGAAATGCGCTAGAAATTGTAAAAATCGCGCCAAAACAAAAACTTTGATGTAAAAAAAATTAGCCGCACCCGATATGGTACAATACAAAGCATGGAAGCAGTTTGTTTTGAAATAATAGCAAGAATCATATATGCATGTATAATTATGTAATTCTCCCTATGTATTTCAAACGAGAGTATCAAACCTGAATTTTGTGAAAAATGTTCTCATATTTATTTCATATGACATGCGGAAGAATAACTCATGTGAACAATGATTTCGATTGTTGAAAAAACAACAATTTTTCGGGTTTGTGGCATTTCCCTAGATTTCGTGGCAAATCCATATATCCCTAGATCTTCGCTGATTTCCATAGAAAAGGGAAATTTCCCTAGCAGCGGTAACCCTGGCCCGCAGTGTTATCCCCGGCCCGGCCGGCGCGTTGTGTCCAAAGCATACCGTGCTGCCACCTGGCGAGACTTTTCGGAACTCTTAGCGCGAACATCCATTTCGGATAACAACTCCAGCCGTTTATTGTGGCACAGGCCGTTTGACCTGTTCACGTATGCTCACACATTTTCTCCATATAAGCCAATATCAATTAACCCGCGTCTTGCTGGGGGGCAGTGGCGTATCCAAGGGGGGATCCTGGGGGTCCTAGGATCCCCCCTGGAGCCTAGAAAAAAGTTTTTTTTTATAACACGGAAAAAATTGAAATGACTTCAAGGGCCCTTTTGACCACTTTCCATTTTATTCGCTAAAAGAAAAAGTATTGTAGAACTCTTTTAGGGACCCTTTGAGGATTATTAGAGGACACATTTAGGCCAATGATGGACCTTGTGAAGTATACAGAGGGCCCTCTCAGGTACACAGAGGGCCCTTTCAGGCACACAGGGGCCCTCTCAGGCACACAAAGGCCCTCTGAGACACACAAAGGGCCCTCTCAGGCACACAGACGGTCCTCTGAGAATCACAGAGGGCCCTTCCAGGCACACAGAGGGCCCTCTCAGGCACACAGAGGGCCCTCTCAGGCACACAGAGGGCCCTCTCAGGCACACAGAGGGCCCTCTCAGGCACACAGAGGGCCCTCTCACGCTCACAGAGGGCCCTCTCAGGCACACATAGGGCCCTCTCAGGCACACAGAGGGCCCTCTCAGGCACACAGAGGGCCCTCTCAGGTACATAGAGGTCCCTCTCAGGCACACAGAGGGCCCTCTCAGGCTCACAGAGGGCCCTCTCAGGCACACAGAGGGCCCTCTCAGGCACACAGAGGGTCCTCTCAGGCACACAGAGGGCCCTCTAGGGCTCACAGAGGGCCCTCTCAGGCACACATAGGGCCTTCTCAGGCACACAGAGGGCCCTCTCAGGCAAACAGAGGGCCCTCTCAGGTATACAGAGGGCCCTTTCAGGCACAAAGAGGGCGCTCTCAGGTACACAGAGGGTCCTCTTAGACACACAGAGGGCCCTCTCAGGCAAACAGAGGGCTCTCTCAGGTACACAGAGGGCCCTTTCAGGCACACAGAGGGCCCTCTCAGGCTCACAGAGGGCCATCTCAGGCACACATAGGGCCCTCTCAGGCACACAGAGGGCCCTCTCAGGTACACAGAGGGCCCTTTCAGGCACACAGAGGGCCCTCTCAGGCTCACAGAGGGCCCTCTCAGGCACACATAGGGCCTCTCAGGCACACAGAGTGCCCTCTCAGGCACACATAGGGCTCTCTCAGGCACACAGAGGGTTCTCTGAGACACACAGAGGGTCCTTTCAGGCAAACAGAGGGCCGTCTCAGGTACACAGAGAGCCCTCTCAGGCACACATAGGGCCCTCTCAGGCACACAGAGGGCCCTCGCAGGCAAACAGAGGGCCCTCGCAGGCAAACAGAGGGCCCTCTCAGGTACACAGAGGGCCCTCGCAGGCAAACAGAGGACCCTTTCAGGCACACAGAGGGCCCTCTCAAACACACAGAGGGCCCTCTCAGGTACTCAGGGGGGCCTCCCAGGCACACAAAGGGCCCTCTAAGACCAGCAGAGGGCCCCTTAAGACGAACAGAAGGCCCTCTGAGGTACGAGGGTCAATGTCAGGCCACAAGGTACCCTAAGAGGCCACCAGACGGCCCTCTTAGATCAAAGATGGTCCCTGGAGGTCACCAAAGGGCCCTCTGAGGTGAACAAAGGGCCCTCTGAGATCGAAGAGATCAAAGAGATCAAAGAGGGCCCTCTAAGGCGAATGGAGGACCTTCAAGGGCGACAAAGTGCCCTCTGAGGCCACTGGAGGGCCTTCTGAGGTGATATGAGGCTATGTCAGATCACCGTGAGCCCTATGAGGTCATCAGGAGATCAAAGAGATCAAAGATCAAAGATCAAAGAGGGTCCTTGGAAGTCATCGGAGGACCCCTTAAGGCTCATTGAGGCGAACAAAGGCCAGAGGGCCCCCTTAGACACCACAAAGAAGTAAAAAAGATCCCTCTGAGGTCAAAGACAGCTCTCTGAGATGTAATAGGGCCATTTGAGGCCTCCGAGGGCCCTCTGATGCCACAGAGAGGCGCCCTCTGATGCCAAAATAGGGTCCTCTGAAGTCTAAATCCACCAGAGGGTCCTCTAAGGCGAACAGAGGGCCCTAACATCCACCTCAAAGAGGGCCCTCTGAAAATCAACTGGCCCTCGGAGTCAGTGTCCCAAAATCGTATTTTGGCTTGGGTGTCAGAGGGGGGAAAGGTCACCCAAAAGAGGGATAAGAGTGGACAATTGTCAGTCACAGGGCAGTCGGAGCCCTCTGAGAAGGCCACTTGAGCCTTACAACAGAGGGCCCTCTGAGGTGATATGAAGGCTATGTCAGGCCACTATGGGCTCTATGAGGTCATCAGGCACTCTGAGGAAAAAGCTGGCCCTCTGAGGCGAACAGAGGGCCCTTGGACAATCAGAGAACTTTTTAGGTCAACTAGGGGCCTTATGAGGCCAGCAAAGGGACCCTTTGGGACACAAACAGGGCCTCTCAGGCACCCGGAGGGACCTCTTTTCTAAGGCAAACAGGGGGTCACCTTAGATGATATGAGGGCTATTTTAGGCCACTAGGGGCCTCATGTATTAGACCAACATACGGTCATTTGAAGTAAAAGAGAACCTTTTGAGGTAAAAAGGGCCCCTGGAGAGAAAACAGTGGGATCTTTCAGGTACCCAGAAGGTCCATGGAGGCCACTAGAGGACCCTTTGAGGCCAGTGATGGTCTTCAGAGGCCATCAGAGGGTCCCTCTGAGGGTAACAGAGGGTCCTTAAGACGACCAGAGGCCCTCCGTGAAAATGCGGGCGTCACAAGGCCCGGTTTGCATCAAAGGTCAGGTAGCTATGCCTAGTTTTGGCTCTCTGTTGCCTGCCGACGTGTTCCGAGCTGTCGCAAAAAAAAAAAAAACGATGTGGTGGCACCCACGCCCCCCCCCCCCCCCGGCCGGCCAGGGTCCTTCTAACCAGGGATTCGGAGGCGTGGAAATTTCAGACGGCTCCTGCTCCGGCTCCGGAGAAAAAAAATTCGGTTTCGGCTCCGGCTCCGGCTCCGGCTTCGACTCCAGTACTCAGTTCATCCTTTATACAAATACATACGGGCGTAAAAGAAAAGATGAAGGATTGGTTGACGTTGCTTCTGTATTTGCATAACAAGGCTATTTTGAATACCACATATTTTACTGCCTAGTGCCTTGTAGGTACTGTGAAACCGAACTAGGTCAATAATGTTTTCCTCTTAAAAAAAGCAAAAAAAAAAACAGCCGGAGTCGCCGCCTTTTTTGCCGCTCCGGCTCCGGCTCCGGGCTATATTGTTTCACGGCTCCGGCTCCGGCTCCAGGCAAAATATGCCGGCACCGGCGGCTCCTCCGGCTCCAGCTTCGGCTCCGCACCCCTGCATCTATAACTCGGCTTCTGAGCCACGTACCAACACGCCTAAGGCAGTGTTCCAAGGGACGCAAGCAAACAATAATGACGAAATTACGCCAGTCACTTTTTAGATCAGTTCAAAATTCAGTTCACATAGGTCATCCAAGGTTAAATTTCGCCAATTTTCAGGTCCAATTTCGACAATTTTCAACAAACCACCGCATGATTCGGAAATGAATAGAGCTACAGTACCGGGGAAAAGCGTAGTTAATAGCTCTTTTAACACCCCTTTCGCCGTTTCCATCCTCAGGACATTCAAATCCTTCTCCTCCATGCCGCAACCCCTGATCCGGACTGGACCTGGGCGGGCAACTTTATTCCATGCGGGCGGCTCCCATTGGAGCGCACTGCAGCTCCTAAGGAAGCACACTCGTAACCGGGTGCAGTGAGCACTTGGGAGGCTGGTCGGCCTGTCCTGTTGGACAGGCTCAGCCCCAGTGAGTCACCAAGGTGCCCGCCCAGACCAATGTCTCCCTCAATTCCTATCATCCCTCCGGCCCTGAAATGGTCTCGTTAGACCGAAAGCCGAAGGGCCTGGATCCAACCCAGCAAAACAAACAAAGCTCTTTTAACGCTCTTACTGTAAACTGTGCTCAGATTTGACCTAAGCCTGTTAATTCTACACTTTTTATATCGGAACATTTTCATGTTTCAACAGCTCTGTAGGCCTGATAGCTCTTCCTGCGAAACCTTTTTTGGGTCGAAAATGGCAGAACATGACGTCATTCTGACGTATTTGCGGCCAACCTATCATAGCCTCTGGAAAAAGGTCACAATGTGTAAAATGGATGCCCGGAGAGGTCCTAAAAGTTTGGTGGCGATATCTGCAGTCATTTAGGAGATAGCTACGGAAGAGGACAGGGGGCCGTTTCGCCCCCCCCCCCTACGGGGCGCGGGCTAATGCCCTTTCACCTCAGGCTTCAAGGGCCCTTTTGCCACTTAAGGGCCCTTTCAACCCAGTCAGTCAAGGGCCCTTTTGACTTCGGATCCCCCCTGAGAGAAATCCTAGATACGCCGCTGCTGGGGGGTTGACACCCCTCAGCATAGGCGCGGGAGCCGGGGGGGGGGGCAGTGGGGGCAGCTTGCCCCCCCCCCCAACTCTGGGGCCGTGGGGGCGGTGTCCCCACAGCTTTGAGACGGAATACCACACTTTTTTTGCAAATGTTTTCTTTTTTTGTTGAAAAAGCCGAGGGGTGAAAAATAAGTGGCCTAAAACCGGTGAGAAAACTAGATATGGGGGTACCCTAGGTTAATCTCTATTATGGTGTGCCCCCCAGTCGGAAAGTATAGTTCCCGCGCCCCTGCCCCTCAGGTTTTTCGCTAATATCTCAAAAACGGCGGCGGCACACCTTATCGGCTTATCAAACATCTTCTCTTCAAATGCTGAGAAAATTTCAGACCAAGATCACTCAAGGTCAGGTCAACAGGTCACTTCAAGTGACCTCACCTCATTACAAGTTTCAATGTCTGCCATAGCAGATAGGGGAAAGTGGGTGTATTGCGCCCTCCTAACCAATTGCGCCCACCAACATTTCCACGAATTCAATGGCATGTTTAGAATTTTGTGATCGAAAACAATATTTTCACCACTGGATAATTCATTTTATGGCCCAAGCTCTCCGACGAAGCCAATCAGCAGGGCTCATTACGCCAGCAAAGATATTACCGGGCGTTTTCTTAGCTTTTCTGCAGTATTTTGACCCGTTGGCTATAAAAATACCTATGCGATAGGTACGTGTGTGATTTTCAGAGTGATATTTAGAAAAAAAACTTTTTTTTTTCATTATATTTCACTGAAACAGTAAACATCCTTTAGTATATTTATGATAACTTCTACACTTTTATTAAAAAGTACCTCAATTTTAATTGCGCCCATGGCACTTGCGCAGGGGGGCGCAAATAGAATAATGGTGTCGCTATTGTATCACAACAGTAGGGTAGACCGGGGCAAGTCGCCCCGCCGAGGTAAAACGCCTCACCGATGTTTCTCGGAACTGGCAAGGATCTGGGGCAATATTCTCTCTTCTATAAAACGTGCACTATATGATCAGTATATGACCAGACTGGAAAGAAATTGTGATGACTCCTTAGGGAGATATAGCCAAAAATGTGTTTTTGGAATGATTTTTATGTTTTGTTGTCAGGTTATGCATCATGGCGTTCTTTTATGGTCCACATCAGGTTAACGACTTTTATGTATTTTGAATAACTGTTATCTAACGCTTATAATGCCGGGTTGGTTCGTGTTAAATTATGTCTTGCTGGAGTACAAGGCGTTGTTTTCTGACCGAACTACGTGATGGGGTAAAACGCCCCAGTAGGTCGCGGGGCAAAAAGCCCCATGGGGCGTTTTGCCTCATGTGTTGTTCGTACTACCTACTTCCTAATGTTCGGTAGCTGGCAAACAGTAAGTTTCTATGCATTTATGTGTAGTTTTCTCAGCAACCGGATGGCAAAGGAAGTATTTGGTTGACAGTTGCATGGCAATAATTTATTATTTGGCCTTATGAAGCAGGTGAAAAACCTGCTCATACAATAGTGTCATAGCTGAACACCTGATAGGATGGAAGGTGCTAACTTCAGTGCCGTGCCTCCCGAGGTCTAACGGACCTCTCATATAAGATTTGGTCAACTAGCATATTTAATCTTTAATCTACAGTATGGGGCTTCTTGCCCCGGGCCGTGGGCGTTTTGCCCTGGGGTTGGGGCAAAATGCCCCATTTGCAGTTGCTTCACAAATCACTTCATATCTGGGAGTCCGATCATAAGTGAATGAATTTGAGGGGTGGAATTTAAAGTAAAATGTCCAAAGAACGCATTGAGCACAAATTTGGCCTTCCAGGTGATGTAGGACAAAAGTTATGAAGCAAAATAAATTATCTGGGGCGTCTTGCCCCAGGCTACCCTATGATTTGGGTGGACCTGATACCTACCCACGTCAATGGCACTCCACCACACCAGCGGTGTAGGTACTCCCGGTCCGGCTGCACCTGGTGCCGTCCCAGGTGGGTCATTGTCATTGCGTGGTGGGCCGAGGACCCACTGACTCGCTCCCATACCGCTCACACTTGTGTCGTGGATTACCTCTGTTGCAGCAAACAATTATCCGTGGACGGCTTGCATGAGCGCGCCATAGATGAATAACGTATCAGCCGGGATGTTCTACATACGTAAGTACCATGACTGGGAGGTGGACCGCTATGTACATTATGCTATGTACATTATGCATAATCTAGGTACGCTATGTAGATTATGATGCAATAGATAACGAGTTATTTTAATGGAGCTTGCCTATTTATAAGAAGCCTATCAGGCATTTTAAGTATTTATTTAATAAGTCTAGAATCACAAGGCATCTACGATTATAACGACACGATAAGTTCTTGGTAATAGATCAACATGTGTTAGGACTACATCGACGCACAACGGGTGCGGTCTAAATCGGTTTCTTAAGCACGCGCCTATTACCTATCAAACGTTTTCTAAGTGATCCGACTCCAGCTCTCTCATCAAGTCGGCTAGTTCCAGGGTTGAATTTATTGCTTAGCCAACATACAGGGTGGGGCAGCATAATCGGGAATAAATATCAAACGGGATTATTTGGTCATGAATTTAAAAATATAGCTCCAAGCACTATTTTAACAACATCCCATCAATCGGTCACCTTTTACCTATCCCTCATCCTATTTGACCGCCCTTCGCGTCGATGACCTTCTCAAGGCGGGTCCAAAAGCACGCGCATGCACGTGCAGCCTCCTGCTTGTCCATGATCGCCCATCAGCTTCGTACCTTGCACTGAAGACCGTTTTTACTGATGATAAGTTGTTCATTAAACTTCTACCAAAAAACGCTCCATATAAAGAATTTGGTCGGATTTAAATCGGCGGAGTTGAAGGACCAGAAGTTTTTGGTTCATCTCAGGTGGAGGTGCCCTACACAATAACATGTCGTCCTCACTGCAGTACCAGCACGGACAGAGTCCTCGTAAGACGTGATCTGGACCGTCAGTGATCCTCTCTTCCGACGACTCCACGTGAGTCTGCCAGAGTGTGGATGTATTTACCAGAGGTGCTCGTTTTATCCGGGCTCGATGAAGTAGGGTGCACCACGTGCACCTCCCTTGAAGACCACCCATAGGTCCATCACCTCAACAGGATGTTTACTTTGCATGACCGCTGCAATATTCTCGATACAATCCCCTATATGGCATGCCATTCTTTTTTATCGTATTCCAGTCGGTGATAAGATTTTTGGTCGCTGAAGTTTTGAACATTGTTTCTTTTTAATATGCTCAAGAGCTTCTTCCTTATATTCAAGTGAGTCATCTTGTATGTCCTCTGCTAAGAGTTATTTTACGACGATTACGTTAACTTTTTGTCCTAAGTATCCCCACACAATCCTTATCGTCCGTGATAACACGTTGACCTGTCCAGCAACCTTTACGTGGAATGGCATTGTTTTAAACAAAATGTTCTTGTTTTACTCGTTTAACATTAGTGTCTATGGGCGCGCGCAAAGCACTTGGAGCACCGTCGAACTATTTTGCTGCTCTTTTCCAGGAAGTTGCATGCTCATGGATGTAGTCATGTCAGATGATGCACAACTTTTGGGCGTTTCATTGCCATGATATAATTTATCAAAATAATGCCATGCCTACTCATGACCAGAGCCCAAAAAGCATTCCCGATTATGCTGCCCCACCCTGTAGGTCTTTATTCCCTGCTGAAATGTCCTGTCATGGCTGCTTCACATTCCGAGACAGTATAGAGAAACGTGTCAGGAAGAGCGGCAGGATGGTTTCGCGGTCCGTCTCAGCTCGGTCACTGCCCAAGGTCTGTGGCGCGCCTGGGGCTCCCCGATCCCGCCGGCCGAGCGGGCCCCTATTTAACCTGGCTGCGGAGCCGGGCCGCCACTGACTGTGCCGCGGCGGTGGAACCAGTGCTGATCGACGCACCGATACTCGGAACACAATGTTCAGACTGCTGGTGAGTTCGACGGATGCTCCCTGTGGATGATCCGTGTAATGCAACTTTCTGTTGGTGTAAATGCGCTAATTAGTTGACTATACACTGTTTTTCGGCAATAGTTGCATTTTCAAAAGTTTACCGACCAGTGACTACCAAAATCGGCCAATAAAGGTATAAGGCCAAAAGATAAGACAAATGTCAACGTTATATAGTACCTAACATTGTTTCGGCATCTCATGCATGTAATCACAAATGTGATCTTGCGTGAGGAAATATCTTGTAATCTTGAAATGTGGCATAAAAAATGTAATTTTGCGTGATCGTTGATTGTAATAATAAGTTGCTGAATTCACAAAAGGCATGTCTAAGTCGAAGGTCAACGTAATGCAGCAGCTTTCTCTCCGCATCCAATGCGAGTGATCGTGCGTGAATAAATGCCAGCTTTGCTTATTCTCACCTATAGAGCTACTACGTGAAAACATTTATTTGTTAACTGAGAAGAGTGTTCGCACTACCAAATTGTTACTGAAACAATCTGAATCTGTATCCAACGGATCTCACACGGCAGGGACCGGATTCTTTTCGACAATCTGTTCCAGTCGTTTCTTTCTGAAGTGAACTGTTGAAAGACGATTGGAACGTCCTCCAGTTTCGACGGTACTGCGGCTAAAGTTCTCCCACCTGACGCGTCTCTCTTCATTCTCAGGTTGTGTGCGGCTGTCTGGCGGCCTGTCTGGCTGCTCCGCAGAGACAGCAGTTCGCTCAGCAGCAGCAGCAGTTCCGGCCGACCGCGCGGCCCTCCACCACCACCCCCGTGCCGATCCTGCGTCAGATCTCCAACTCCAACGAGGACGGATCCTACACTTACGGCTACGAAGCCGCCGACGGCTCCTTCAAGCTGGAGACGCGCAAAGCCAACGGCGAGGTGTTCGGCAAGTACGGCTACATCGACGCCCAGGGCGAGCTGATCACCATCGAGTACGGTGCCAACCAGCACGGCTTCCAGCCGTCCGGCAAGGGCATCACCGTGGCGCCGCCCACCCTCGTCGACGAGTCCAGCAAAGACTACGACTACATCGACGAGGAGCCCGTGGCGCCGGTGCGCAGCCAGAGCCGCCCTGCCGCCCCGGCCCCCGCCCGCGCCCCGGTCCGTGCCGCCGCCCCGGCGCCCGCGCCCGTCACCGTGACCCGGCCGGTCGCCCAGCCGATTGCCAAGGAGGAGTTCGACAGCAGGTTCGCTGATTTCGACGCCAGGATCGCCAGGCTCTTCAGCCGTGCTTAAGAGACTTTATGTTTGCTTCTGAGAAGTGTCATTTTCATTTATTTCGCTGACAATATATCATGATGTTTAAAAAGTCACCAATCTGTGTCTTGTGTGGTTGAATAGCTACTTGCAGGTCAGTCATTGTGAGAAGAAGTGGGATGCATCGGTGTTCTCGGTTTGCTACAGTTTACCAATGTTCCCACCGTTCGTCAAGCGCCGACCTCTCTGGTCATTTTGTTTGTAAAATTGAGGGTCATTGTAGTATCACATGTTGCACGGTGACATAGGCAGCATGAATCTAATTCCAGTGTCATCAAGTGTCATATATGTGTCACAATATAGCGCAGTATTTCCCTCAAACGCCTGAAACTAAGGTTCGCTGTGTTCTTCATTCAGCGCAATACGATATGAAGGAACATGCACCAACACTATATGGAATGGTGCTGAAAATCCTACGACATAACATTGCGACAGCGTGAAGAAGAGGTATAACTTATACAGAAAACAGTTCAGCAATCAAGTTTACGGATAAGATGTTTGATAACGTTGCAAGCTAGGTCCAAAAACGGCATATGACTCTATTGTGCTCAACCTTATGAAGGATGACTGGCTAAATAAACAATCAAGAATTACAGATGACACCCATATACTAGATTTACTGAAAACGAAAACGGAAAAGCAGCTGAAAAATATATATGCATGGGGGCAACGAGTGCCCGCCCCCCCTCCCAGGCGCCATGCTACTGCTGGCGCCTGCTGGTGGCTGCTGTTCCCGTCCGCCCCTACTGTTGTGCTTCAGATACTGGAACGCCCGCGGCGGTGACCGTTCCCGGTCGCTGATTGGCTGCCTTAGGGCGGCCCCGACCCGGCGCTGGGCCAGACGCCATGCGCGTGAGGGAATTGCGGGCTGCGCGGCGGCTCGGGCGGTTGCTCACTGCTCAGTGCTCTCCTCGTATTGTGAACGCTGTGTCGTCAATACAGTGTTGGCTCTCGACAACATCTACAGAACACACACGAGACCGGAGAACACACACCAGAGGCACGTCTACGTATAGGTAATCTCTTATGATCTCTCATTACCTGAGGTCAGTTTCAACTTTCATCAACCGAAAAGTCAACCACTGCTGTCATTTGAAGGCCCAAAATCGCCCACAAATTCACGAACTGCGCGAGTAAATAGTTGCCATGCTGCGAAAATCACTTCGGCTGTTTGAGTCTTTCGCATTGTTCCTTTTTCAGCGGGCTACCGAAAATCTTGAGAATACTGCGGCCGGCTACTCTTATGCTCGTAAAGTGAGCTTGTTCGTAGTCTTATGCCAACGCTCCAACCGATATTTTTTATCGGTAATGCCATTTGACATTGAGTAATACCGTGGTAATGCGCAATGAGGCAAGCGATAATTTCTTTCACAGAAAATGAGACCACAGCTTTGAATTACGTCTTGAAAGTGTGGATTGAGAGGAGCACCGACAGTGCACCAAAGGAGCAAAGCTCACCCGCGGAAGGCCGGGAGTGTCCCCACGGGATAGCCCACACCCTGACCCTGTCAACCAGTTATCCGAGGGAGACTGCTCAATATGGGATGACATTACCGGTTCTGTTGGAGCCAACAGCTCGAACAAGGTGATGTGGGAAAGGTTACTGAGTGGTAGGTCCTGCAATGAACAGCGAGCAATGATGTCCTCTTTTTTTTGCTATTATAAGTTATACTTACTAGGTTAACTACTACTACTTACTAGGCTAACTTACTACTAAAGTTAACTAGGAATTTATAGTTTCCTAATTCCCAACCACGTGGTCTCCGGACAAATTACTTGTCTACCCATGGTTCCGGGACCAGCGTCCAATGCGCCAGCTATCACGACTTCAAGGAATCAAGACTATCATGACTGTCGAAATATCTCTTCGACGACCCCTTCTGCACGACGCAGGATGCGACGATCGGGACTCTGGCCGGATGCATGCACATTAAGATGTGCTTCAGCTGGGCTCCCTTACACGCCACGCCCTTACAGTTTGCACGATCATTGCAATTAATTACTGATTAAGCTCCCGAGAGAGATTCAAGTCAAGGTGGGTAATTGCTCACATGCTCCATGTGTTTAAGCGTTTTTTTTTTAGACTCATCAAATGTTTCATTGTAGTTAATGACGTAGTTACCTGACAAGCTTCGAGCTTATTGACATCCTTTCAGCCGCAGCCGAGCGAGAGTTGGTCGGTTGTGCCGTCATCCGTAGCGTCTCAGTGGCAGTGGGTCGTCCCTCGGACCGGTTTGGGCGGTGCACCGCCGGGGCCATCCGCCTATCTCGCTCTCCCGATACAGGAAGCGGCCGGCTGACGCGCCCTCGCCCCGGGCGGTCTCAAGGTCGCGACAGGGCGGCGGCAGCGCGGCGGAAGTGATCCCGTACAGGACGAGGGCGTGCCGGTGGGGCAGGAGGCGCCGAGGTGACCGGCAGAGGTCCGCGGTTGGAATGGGAAGACGGCGGACACATATCTGAGCGGCGGCTCAGCCGTCAAACACACCTTCCGGCGAGGTCAAGTGGTCGAGTGGAGCAACCGCAGTGGAATATTGGTGCACGAACGAGAAGGGTTGAAGGTACAGGCTAGTGGAATTGAGGGTTTGAGGCGAAAATCGAGGGTATTATAGCATGAAGAATGAGGCATGAAGATCTGCTTTGCCATAGCTGTCAGTGTTTGGAAGACAATTGCTTGCTTCAATAAGAATGTGCTGTCTTTTCAATTAATTATATACCTAATCAAACAGAATGTAACTCATCGGGCATGGAAAAGCTCTGCGAATTGTCTACGATCAGGGGTGTAACTTTCCTAAAATGATTGTGGGTGCCCAGCTGTATTGGGGCGCCAGGCCGCTTTGGGGCGCAATAGATATTCTTTATGTGGATTGTGGAGCCTAAATTAACACCGACTTTGATAACATTGCTAGCCGAAGGGCGCTTCAAGTGACATGTCTGACTAAGCAAATACACGGTTAAAAGTGTAAAGTGACCGGAAGGGCGCAAACAAATGTAGAGGGTCGGCCAAATGTAGGGGCGCCAGACGGTTACGAGGGCGCCGTGAAACCATGAAAAGGGCGCCATTCTCCTAGAAGGGCGCCGAGTGATTGAAAACGTTATGTGGTCCAGGGGCGCTAAGAGGCCAGAAGGGCGCTGCACTGTCAAGTAATGCTAAGTTGGTGGGGACGTAGGGGCGCCAGACGGCTGCGAGGGCGCCGTGAGACCATGCGAATGGCGCGGTGCTGTCAAAAGGGCGCCAGTGAGTGCCACTCTCCCAGAAGGGCGCCAAGTAAAAAGGCTATATTATCCAGGAACGCGAGACGGTCAGGAGGACGCCGTTAGAGCATCCGAAGGGCGCCGTGCTCTCGAACAGGACGCTTGTAAAAGACTTGTGGGTGCATTTTTATCATTGTGGGGGCATAATTTAGGATTGTGGGTGCACTGCCCCCACAAAGAGATATAAAATTACACCCCTGTCTACGATCTAAAACGTCATTTTCGGGTGGTGACTAGCGGTATATACCGTCGCTAAGGTCAGGAGACGCCTTTACCCGCACGCGTTTTCGTCGAACAATGGTAAACACTGTCCGGCCTACTGTCAGGCAGTGTGCCAATGTCATCGGCCTTATAGAGGACAGCCGCTGTGACGACTCGACTGCAGTTTACGCCATTTCTCCCAGCCAACACAATAGAGCCGCATCAATAGTGCCATAATGAGCATGCACAAAGGAAACACCGGCGCCCTGGCCATTCGTCACCGAAACAGCGCTGTGCGGCTGTTTAGTGCACCGCCACTCCATGAGAACAGGTCCAGATGACTACCTCTTCAGTCGGCCATTCGTCCAGTGCACCTCCGAGCTACAGCTCGTGCCGCAATGTCTTCTGTCACGCTCTGATCGCGTGCGAGCTTCGACGCATCGCTAGTGACGCACGATCGCTGGGAGGGCGGGTCGACGCGGCGGGTGGCCGCCGCTCCGACCTGACCCGGGCCGGCGTGCAATGAAGCGCCCCCGCCACCCGGACAGGACGCTGGAGCGGTTCCTGGTCGAGGGTGGCGGCTGGAGCCTCGCCGGCGCCATGTCTGGCGAGCAGGCGGGGAAGCTGCAGCGTATCAGACGGCTGACGGAGCAGCCGGACCGCGGGACAGCAGAGAAGCCCGCCGGCGCCGCGACCGCCTGGTGGCTGCGAGTTCGAGCCGTCATTGTCGCCGTGTTTGCGGTGCTGTTCCTCACACAGGTAGGTGAAGGAAACACGTAATCGACCGGCGTATACGATGATGTGCGTGTAGCAAACAGTCGCTCCTTAATAGAAATTGAAGTTTTCATGATGTTGGGACTTTGAAACGGTTCCCGTATTCTCAAAATGCATTTGGATGCGGTATATATCATTTAGGAATGAAGTGCTTACTGCGAGTTTATAGACTCAAATTAAGAGTAGACGTTCAACTAGAGTAAAATTGAAAATATAAAAAGTACGACAATCCAGGCTACAGGGACCACAGGCGTAACTTGGAAAATGGAATGATAAAAACGTTGAAATAAATACAAATAATTTATTCCAAAGGACTAATTGGTCGATAATTAGTGGGAGACGCGCAAAGTGGCTCTTCGTTTTCGCAGCAACTTTGCGTTCAATATACTTTATCTTCAGAATTTGTAACAATATAAAAATGTATGAATCGGTACAAGTATTCTATCAGGTCTTTGTCATAATAAACGCTCATTAGACGCTCATAGTGTAATAGTGTTATATCGCTCACAGTGGTATCTAATGCTGGTTCCTTTGATTTCATGTCGCTGATGTCTGCAAAGGGTCTGATAATCTTCTAGCGAAGTGTCTGTCGAACATCGTGCAGCTTGCAACATCTGCGTGTGCATCACCGAAATAGCAAAACACAGCTTAAACCCATTTTAATTTCAGGTATTCGTCAGCGTGACGAAGCTTCTGTACAATAATACGATATCGACGGTAAAGTGGAAGCCTTTCGAGCAAGGCTTTCCTCTCCCAGCCGTGACCATCTGCTCGTACACAAACATCAACTCGTAAGTTTGTCACTTAATGCTGACAGGTGGAGACTTGCAAGGAACCGGCTTGGCTATGGGGCCGCATCAGGCGGCGGAGGTCAAGTTCACAATGGTGCTGGGACGGCGGATTTGCGTTGCCCGAACACCCACATTACTGGTAATTCTCCACCGAATGGACTGCTCCATTTTTGTTCAAATAAATACATAAATTATGCTGGAAGAATGGATTAAAATCAAATTGCTTCACCATAGAAAGATACTTATATCATACAAAATATCATTAAAACCGAGCTGGTTTAGGTTTAAGGACTCTTGTCTAATAAATATATGTTGTTCCAGAAATCTGACACTGGACCAGTTTGTTTTGGAGTGTAATGTGATTACTGACACCTGTGAAGAGGCTATGGGCAAGTACTTGGAGGTAACAACGGTGAACTTGGACACCAGGAGATGCTTCACATTCACCACAAGTGAGCAGTTAGCTTGTGTTCATTTCATCGCCGCCATTCTCTGAAGTCTGATCAGTTACATTATTCATTTTATCTCCTAAACGCAGTGCATCTACAACAGTCACTTCCATAACTCTCATTTTCCTTCCATGTCTCTTTTTATAAGTTTTATTGCTCTTGTTTTCTCTTCCCGTTATCTCGTTTTTTTTCCTGGTCCACGATGAATGCGAATGCTAATAATGCGCAATCTTCCCCGGAGGCTTCATGCGGAAGCTGGTTTGTTAATTTCTGTCTTTGGGCCACGTTACATGCGAAAGAGACGTGCATACAGCGGCTTATAGGTCGTGATGTCTCCTTCAGCTTTTTAACGTAACGTTTAGCAATGAATATTCTGTAATCATTGCAAAATTTTATCCATTTCGATGCTGACAGTTCCGCTTTTATCATAAACAAGACGTTGATGATTCCATATTACTGCAGGTCAAAATGCTCCATTGAATGAAAAGGATAACGGAATAGCAATGCGACTGGCGTTTCAGCCTGACGACATAGTCAAAGACAAGGTGGAGGTCTACCTTCACGGAAAGGCTGAGGTCAGTCAGCATGTTATTTATATGTACGTGACCACCATTTTACTGTCATGCTGCACGATTCACTTACTTATCAACAAACGTTAATGACGAAGCAATTGGCTTTATCATATAGGATTTGTGATTCATATACCCGGGAATCTGCAATCCTCGAGATCATGATAATCACTTATTATGTTTGTAAAATGAAGGCTGCTCAGTCCTGGTTCTTCTAATAAAACATCTGTGATTCGGGCCCGATTAGGATTCATAAATGTTTCCCTGTGTGTCCCTCTTGTTCTTTAGGCTTACAACCCATTCTTCGTCCTCGGCCTGGACCGCAACATCGAGATACCGCTTGGGAAGTCGATCAAGCTGGAGCTGATGGTGGAGATGTCCAAATACCTTAACGGCTACGGCCACATGTGTCGGGAGGAGCCTGGGTACACCTATGTGGGCTGCCTCCGCTTCTGCTTTGAGGAGAAACTAATCGAGGCGGGACCACGCTGCAAGTAAGAATTGATCATGTTTTGATCATGCTGCATTTGACGAAACCAATGACTGTAGCGTGACAATGTGTTCACAACGGTAAACAGTAACACTGATATGCTATGAGCTCGAGCACGGTTGGCTTTATTCGAACGGCGTGACGGCTTCTGATCTAAAAATTTATGTCTTTATGTCTGTCTACAGGTTGGACTGGATGATTCCACATCATTCTGCACCGCTGTGTACTGAAGAAGATACCGTGCTGAATTTTAGCCGAGTGGTGGAAGAAAAGGTGAATTAACTTGGAAGGAAACGGTTTATTATAGTGACGATTTCTTGATGAATATTTTGATGTAATTGCTGAGAAGACTACATCAATTATCATTGTTATATATAATTATGTTCTATTACCCAAGTGAAAATTTTATTGGATTATTGTTTATGATTCAATAAACTGCGGCTTGTGTTGTAAAACTGTTCAGCGCTGGTGTTCTTCCTACAGGGCCTCACGGTCTCACAAGACCATCCCGAGTGCGAGGCCTCCTGTGACCAGGCATGCGTCACATACAACTATCGCGGCGTCGAGTACTCCTCGCTCGTTCAAACCAAACTCGTCGAAAATAAGGAGGCCAAGTTCAAATTTCGATTCCGTGACACATACTACACGGCAATCGAAGAAGTAATAAATTATGACTTTTGGAGGTAAGTTATGATCAGTAGCGAGATAAGTTAACCTCTCCTCCAAGAGTTTGATTAAATTTTTGATTGAACAAATGAGTAATGCACTGTGTACCGATTATCAAACTTTTATTCCGTTTACAGGCCTGTACACTGTACAGTGTTCCGCATAATTTATTAGAGCTTACCCAATGACCCGTGCTTTGACCGATGTCAAAGCATCAAGAGCCAGTGACATTGTAATTAAGTCGCTACGCATGTATCTGACCTTCTGTATTTGACCCACAGTATGATCGGTGAGGTTGGCGGCACGCTGGGCTTTCTGCTCGGCCTGTCCCTCCTCTCCATCCTGGACCTGCTGGCTGACGGCGTGAAGTGGCTCAACAACTGGCGCATTCGCCGCAAAGGCCTCGCCGCCCGACTGCTCGTCGTCAGGGCCAAGTTCTGAACCAATAGTATAAAACGCGCTCGCTAGAGTGCCGAGAGGGTGCAGAAATCTACCGATGGCCACCTCAGATTTAAGTCAGTCACGTTTCCTTTTTGAATTGCTCACCCAATTATGTTCTGCTTTCGATATCGCTTAAATAATAACTAAAGTAAAATTCAGTTTGTTCAAAATAGCTGGGAAGATTTAAGGACAATACTGTGCCTCGGATAGTGTAGCTTACTGTTGAACTTCTTTGCTAGTAGTCATGTTAGATATGCCTACCTTTTGAAGACTTTACATTAAATTATTCCCGAATTGGTGGTAAGATCGTTCTTGTCACAGCCCATGACAGTATACATAAGCCACAATAAATCCCATTTAGTTGGAGAGTCCGTCTTGCTAAGTTGTCTCAACTGTTTGTCGTCAAGAAACAAACGTATACTCGCTCCATCACATATATTCTTCACAATATTTGTGAAGATTTTTTGATCATTTTCAATGGCTGATGATCACAACACATGGTACAAACAAATGACAGGACAAACAAGAAAATCAAGTGGCAGACAACCCACTCGATGAAAGCATCACATTGTATCAAATGAGACTAGAAGAAGTGGACACATGCCCTCCTTAGTAGGCGTAGTTGCCGTAGGCAGGCAGGTGGGCAGAGTTGTAACCGTAAGAGAAAGCGGCTCCGGCCGTGTAGGCAGGCACGCCAGTGTAGGCAGGGGCGCTGCTGGTGTACCCGGCCGGGGCGGAGTAGGCAGCCGGGGTGTAGCCAGAGTAGGCAGCCGGGGTGTAGCCGGAGTAGACAGCCGGGGCAGGCTCGGTGTAGACGGGGCCGTCGGTGTCGGGGGCGGCGTCGGCAGCGGCGGCGGCGGCGGCGTACAGGCGGGCGAACTCGGCCTTGGCGGCGACCACCTCGGGGGTGTCGCTGACGGGCAGAGGCGCCACGGCGCTGCGCTTCTTGCGCGCGTCAGGGGCAGCATCAGCGGCGGCGGCAGCCTCGTCGTACAGCCGCTGGAACTCGGCCTTGGCGGCCTTCACCTCGGCAGTGTCGTCGACGGGAGCCGGGCCGACCAGCGAGTGCACGGGCGCGGCCAGGTCGGCCTTCGGGGCCACCGGCAGGTTGGTCGCCTTCACGCGGAAGCCGGCGGAGTCGGCCACGTAGCTGACCGTCTGGACGATGCCGTTGGCGTCCCTGTAGCTGTACGAGCCGACGGTGCCACCGTAGGCGTTCTTGTTCTCGTGCTTGGTGCTCAGGCCGTCAGCGTAGCCGTAGCTGTAGCTGCCGAGCTCGTCCTGGGCGTGGTACTGAGAGCTGGTGGCGGCCGGCACGGGGGCGGCGTACGTGGTGTACGGAGCGTACGAGAACGGAGCGGCGTTGTAGGTCGTGTACGGGGCAGCAGCCGTGTAGGTCAGGGGATGAGCATTGTAGGTGTTGTGGAGAGGAGAAGCGAGGCTGTACCCGGCGGCGTACGGGAATCCCGCGTAGCCGTACCCAGCGTAGGGCAGGTACTGGGCTGCCGCAGCGGCCAGGACAGCGGACACGATCACCTGCAATGAAACACGAAAACACGAATATAAGAGCGTGTACTTACACATCGATATGACCCAATATAACGATTAGCAAAGACTGACTTGCTTATGGCAAAATTATCATTTTACTCGCTTTGCTTTTCTACCTAACGAAAGGCTTTGCATTTCATTGCACTAGCAGCATTATGTATGGTCAGCGACAATTTATAAACAGCTTAGAACTATTATGACTTCTGCTATTGTGTATGCTCAATGCTCATGTATGTAAGTGCACCTCTGTTCCTTACCAGGACTTTCATGGTTGAACTCGCTGATGACTGTGGTGCCTGTGACCGTGAGGCGGCCGCCTTTATAGTGCGGCAGAGTCGCCGCTGGGGAGGGAGAGTGGCTGTGGGAGGACGAGCCACGCCCGTCCTCCCCTCCCTCCGGTCGCACCGGCCCGACCTTGGCAGAGTCGTGTCTTCACGGTATCTCCTCAGTTCGGATATGGAGGACAGACACCTGCCGGTGCCCAGACAGTAGACATTCCTATCACCTACCTAAGTGGAGAGGGAAGACGCTGCTGGCAATATTTAGAAAAAAATATATATTAACCCGTTTCCAGGTGGGCATATCAGTCAACTTCTCCATGATGAGAGGGGGAATTCGTCTACCCCCAATTATTCCAAAAAGTACAAAATCGAGGGAGTGTCGCGGAAAAATAAACAAGAAATTCAGAGATGCGGAAAAGCAACCGATAGCTCGTAACAAGTGCTCTGAAAAGTATATGGTAAGGTCATCTTCACTCGTTTCAGTGTCTAGGTCACTAAAGTTGGACAAAATTTGCCCTTCAAGTCGTCCTTGTTTCGAAAAAAGAGTTACAAATTGCTATATAAACGTTTTCAGTACTTCCACATTTAGTTAGGTATATATATCTAATAGTAATATATCTGACCGCAGCAGGTAGCTTTTATGAAAAGCCAGGCTAGATAAGGAATTTATAGTATAAAAATCAGGAGCTTTCCGATTCTGGAAATTTAGTCTCCGTGCAAAAAAAAACTTGACACTTGATGTAGGTACCTAAGCGTTGCAGGGCTGCGGAGTCGGAGTCGGAGTCGGAGTTGGAGTCGGTCGGAGTCGATAGTTCTGCCCGGAGTCGGAGTCGGAGTCGGAGTCGCCAAAATCTTACCGACTCCGACTCCAGAGTCGGAGTTAACGCTGCATGGCTCAATGTCATGCGCTGCACCTGTTTGATTGCCGAATACTGCGCTCGAAATTAGATTTTGTCGGGAAAAGGCCATTTTGCTGTTTTGGACGAGCGTTTTCAGCGAAAGAAGCAGAAGACGAAGAGTGCCCCGCAACCTGCTTTTTAATTCTGCATGTTATTTTTAATGCATATTTGCACCGCAAAGCCTAGGAACGCACAAGGGATCGTTTCAGGCAAGATAAAACATTTCCATTGTGAACTTCAAATATCATTATGGCCGTTTTCACGACGGAACTTTCGCAGAGGAACTTATTTGATACCTAAAAAGTACCTACCCTTAGAGGCCTTAACATCCCTCAAACTGAAATTTTTTATGTTCAAAATAATTTTAGAAGTTTAAATCCGGGCATTTTTTGCCCTCAAATCACTTATTTATTTACAAACACAGCAATTTTTGGTTCTAGTAGCCCACCTTTCGACTATGAGGTATTAAATCAGCGTGGCAACTTGCTCCCTCTTTGCTCCCTCGGGTATCTAATTCCGGAATTCTTAAAAACAAGGAAAGTATATATCGAGTTCTCTTTTATACCTATTCAGTTATGTTTTAATGGTGATAAAAATATGACAAACTTTTTAATTACATTTCAGATAAGAAAACACGCAAAACAATGAAACAAAAATAACTACGGCAGATAATTACCTTCAGGTATCTAATTCCGACCAATCAGCACCTCAGTAGGATATGACGTCATACAAGAATGGTGGTGAAGGCCGTTTGCAGTCTCGGCCGGTAGGTCACGTGACCGCCGGGCGCCTCGGGTCACGCGGCGGTCGGGAGTCGCAAGGCCCTATATACCAGGTAGGGTCGTCCGGCGATTCTACCTTTTCGTGACGTCAGCTCGTGACGTCATTTGGAGTCAAGTCTCGAAGCCCTGTTCAATCCCCATGTAAATGAGCGATTTTCGAAGCACTGTAGAATGAAGTCTGCACAAGATATATCAAACCTAAGTATCTTATCTGAAAGAGCAGACAATTTTCTGCAAGTTATCTATTACGTGTTTTTCGCTAAATCTTTTGCTTTTTTCACAAAAGCGTAAAATGTCCCCCCATGTCTCCGCAGCCTCACTGCCGCCGGCCGCCGCGCGGTCGCGGTAGTGTAGTGGTTAGCGTGCCCGCGCAGTATTCCAAAGGTCCCGAGCTCGAATCTATGCGGTGCGGAACTTTAGTTGCAATTCCAAGCTGAATATACGCACATCCATAATAAATAATTATTCGTATAGCTAAACTGTCACCAAGCTATCCATATAAATTGACTTTACCCAAAATATCGGCAAGATTCTATTAAAATATAAATTCAAATATGGCGGCTTGGACTGCCGCGTGCGTTAGGCTCCGCCCATAGCTCCGCCCACATGCATGACGTCATTCGTGTTAGTGGACACACGCGGAGATAGGGGACGACATGGGCCTGGGGAGTCGGACGCGGGGCGTGGTCGCGGGCGGACGCGCGGGGCATCATGCTTTGCTTTGCTTGCTTTGTCAACTTCATATAACTTACTATCGCATTCGTGTGAAAGCCAAACACTGCTCAGTGTATTTAGAAATTCAAGTTTTGGAAAGCTCAAGTCCCTATAGCTCCTCAGGTCGGCAACAGTTGAAGCCTCATCTGAACCCATGTTGATGTGAAAAAAAACGAGGGTAAGGAACCTTGTGTTGCTTTTTCTTTTACCGTCATAATTATCTCAAACCATCACAATTTTGAGTTGCCACATTGTCTGCTTCACTACATTCGTGTAAAACTTGGGTGAAGGCTGGTGGCTCAAAGAAAGGTGAAGATATTTCTTTAAGTGCCTAATCCGTGAAATTGAAATATCCCGGCTTTACAAATCTACGCTTTTCATTTTCTCCACGATACATTTTTTAAAATTGTTTAAATTTTATCTACATTTGTTAAAATCGGGGCTTTGGTTTTGTGTAAACTAGATCATAAAGTTTACTATAGTTTTGTGTAACCTGATGGCTGAAGAAAATAGTAATTTTGCTAAAATGATGTGCGGAAATTTGTTGCTTTCCAAATCAAATTACTCATACCTATATTTCATTCAAAATTAGGAGGCATTATTACTGTTTTTTCTTGTAACATGAACTGAGTTTGGGTACGGTGCTCCGGAAACGTTGTGGAACTTTAACCCTCGCCCATGTAGGGGGGGGGGGGGTTGGTGCAACCCCCCCCCTGAGGTTTTTCGGGAATAGTGCAAAAACGGCGGCGCGCAGCGCCGCCAAATTTTGGGTACCTTATGGGGCAAACCTTGCGCATCTTTTGATAAAAAAAAAAATTGACCGGGTCATGTCAGGTCACGGAGTTATGACGTCACAAAGGGAACAGCCTCCGGCCGGATTTTCACAAACTGAGTACCAACGCCCGAGGTTTCCTGCCGGTGGTACGGACATCGGTTGATGGATCGTGATGAAACTTCCCATGCATGTTGGGGCAAGTATTGGCTATCATATGGTATAAGAAACTTGACCGGGTCAGGTCAGGTCACGGAGCTATGACGTCACAAGAGGAACAGCGTCCGGTACTATTTTTGAAAAGCGCCCGAACCACTATTTTGCTAATTCTTGTCACCTCAATGGGAATATGCAGCAATATTAGCTTCTATAGGGAGCAAATGGACCTCCCAAATCCAAAAATACAATCAGATTTCAAAAATTTAAATTTTGATTTTTCGAATTTCTGCCGCCGACTGTGACCTTGCCGACTTCCGGCGCTCCCAAGGCGCCATTTTTAGAGCTAGGGAAACGAAATACATACCAAACGATAGGGAATTGATCAAGGAACACGATAGTGAAGGTTTCAAGTCGATATCTCCCACCGTTTTGCCGCAATCGCCGCGGAAAGTTGAAAAAAGTCTATTTTTCCGAAAATTTGACCTTTGACCGGTCAAAAGTAGGTCAAATGTTGACCTAGGACCAAAAAATATACCACCAATCGCGAGATCTCGGCGAGAGCAATCCGTTGGTCTTTTCCGCTAAGCTCTACGACGCTCCGTTTTCAAACGCCAAGGGGGGGGTCGCACCAACCCCCCCCCTGCATGGGCGAAGGTGGCAGATCGCCGTTTACGGGCGAGGGTTAAGCTAGCTAGAGCAGTTTCCATAAAAATTGTTTAGATAGTTGACATGGCTTGTTGACAACTCTTTTGCTGTTTCTAAAAAAGTGAAAAAAAAATATTTTCCTGCATTAAGCACACAAGGCATGTTATTCTCATAAGCTATCGAATGTGTGTGTGTTTTTTTAAGCTGTTTTTTTAAGCTTTTAAGCTGTAACTTCAGTTACTTCACTTTAGAACATATTGCCCAGAATGCGTCACTGATCATGAGCTGGTATATCATATCATATGTAGCAAATACATAAATGAGAATAGTGTGTCATGAATTTTTGTGCATGCTTCTGGATCATCTGTAATTACATCAAAGGCTCGGCTCAAGAGTGTCCTGCCGACCAGCTTATGCCCAACCCTTTCTGTCCGCAGAACGTCGCCTGCGACTCCCGCACGCCGTTTGCCCCGGCCGTCCGTACTGGTCTTCGCGCTGCGAGCCGCGCTGGAGTTCGCGGCGGCGTCGTGGAGCTCCCATCGGGACGGCGTGTGATGCCCGCGTCGAGCTTATAAGCCGTGAGCTTCGATTGGCGGCTCACGCGGTCACCAGCTGTATGTACAGCCTCGGCCCCGACGACCCCGCTAATGGCCGAGACCGGCATACCCCCGGCATGGGTCCGCTGTCCGGCGCAGCGCTGGCCGCCCGCATGCTATGCTACTTTTGGCTGTATCGCTGCCCAGCGGGAGCGCGCTCCACGCTGCGGAAGAGGTACACGTTGCGACCCGACTGAGGACTGCAACCGGATGGTGACACGTCGGCCTCTGCGCCCTGGCCGGGGCAGGCGTGACCGACGTCACAGTGGAGGAACGCCCAAACAAGACCAGCCCACCGTCGGAGCAGCATGGAAATATCATGTTCTGCCTGGACGTCGGACCCGGCGGCCGCAGTGCACCTGCACACGTGCGGAGAGGGGCGCTGGAGGCTACTCTGGAGCTTCTGCCATTCCGCGGCGCGACTGCTGGCAAAACGGCGGCGATTGAGGCGGTTGGGAACAGCTGCAGCAATGGTGATGGCGGTGATGGCGACATGGCGGTTTGGGACTTCATCTCAGCGCGGCCGCCGCCCAGGCGCCGCTGCGCCCGGCTGCTCAGCCACCTACCGGATGGCGGGGTGGCCCTTACGGCCCTCACGCCCGTTCGGTCTGCGGCCAC